TCCTCTATAGAATCAAGCCCCCTGGGTTCAAGTACGTGTCCCGTGGATTCCCGTGGTACCAGTCCTCATGCTGATCATGTTCTGGAACGGTCTTCATATTGTCCTCCAAGGCTGTCTCCTTCCAGCGCAAAGAGAGAAAGGTTTAAAGACATACCACGTCTAATCAACCGCCTCGAAGTTTTGTCTCGGCACTTCAAAAGCCAGTTCCTGGCGTGTCATCTTGAAATATCTTGGACACTCAAGAAAACAAGACGTTCATGGCAGGACCTGCTGTTCAGACATCATCTCATCAAGGCGCGTCCACAAAGTGGCATCATTCTCCTGCTCTTTTCAGAAGCGCAAGCACGAATGTGAATGAACCCTCTGGTGGGCAGTGAAAGGTACACACCCTGCCTCCTCAGGATTTGCTGCTTCAGGTACCCGGATATCCTGACCACCTGTAGCATGTCCAAGCGCAGCTTCTGCTGCTCCCGCCTGGATATGAAAGATCATGAAAGACATTGAAAGACTAATCGTTGGGCGAGGTGTTGTGTGTATTCATTCTGTCTTCTTGCCTCAGCTACAAGGACGTCCCCAGTCCCTCTAGGAAGCGCAGGCTCAGCAGGTGTTGCCGTATCTGGTGCCGTCAACGACTTAGCATTTGCTGCTCCCACCTGGGTATGAAATAACATGAAAGACCATGAAAGACATTGAAAGACCATCGTTGGGCAAGGTGTTGTGTGTATTCGTTTTGTCTTCTTGCCTCAGCTACATGGACGTCCCCAGCCCCTGTAGGAAGTGTAGCCGCAACAGGCGTTGCCGTCGTTCGCGCCTGTCAACGACTTGGGCTTCCCAAATGAAGCATAACCAAATGATACGAAATGCATCAAAATGCATCAACTGCAATATCAATAGAACTCAACTAAGAACAAAAACATACAAAAACAAATATAATATCCTCGCAAATCCTGGAAGCTTGTGCTGAATCCTTCACTTCACTCACTGGTCACTTCAGCCATGCACACATGACAACGTGTGCCCGCGTCGAGCTAGTAGCCGTGCTTGGCCGGGCTGCATTATGCGTGCTGGCTGTTTTTTTTTATTGGCCTTTAGCCTTCAACCAACACTTCAAAACTGCTTTACAAAAAGAGGCGGTGTACATCGCGGAAAATGGCAGGTCTTTTGTTCCCTGCCACCCACGTCCACCATTGGAACGCCTGCACTCTTGGTAATAAACTCGTGGGTTCACTCGCTTCAAATTTCTCTTCACCAGCCGGGCCTAGGCTAGAACATCCTGGAACCATTCAGCCTTACAAGATTCTACCTGATTGCTGTTAAATCTCACGACAAAGCAAAAGCAACCACTTGTATGCGTCAGTCAAGGAACCTTGATTCGTTCTCTGTCCTTCTTGGTCAACTTCCTCTTGAGCTGCTGTGTTGACCTGTCATGAAAAAACATTAAATTAAATCCTCCCTGCCCCAACCACATTTTCTGCTCCAAGCTGAAATCACTAATTGGATCTCTTTGAGGCTGGCACTCCATGTTCGACAGCAAGTGCGTAGGCTTGGCCAGATCATGGGCAAAGAAGCCCATGTACGTGAGGACCACAAACCTAAGGATCAATGAGACAACCACCCTTGCAAGATGGGACCCTCCAGGGACCTGATTTTGTAGAGATTGAGTGGGAGGTGGGGGGGGAAGTCTTGAATTTGGCAAGGTGATGCCAGGTGTGTTTTTGGATGTTGTTAAAACCAATTAAAACCAGGACTCTTCCCATTCTACCAAGATAGGACCCTCCAGGGGCCCAGATTTTGTAGAGATTGAATGGGAGGTGGTGGGGAAGCCTGACTCATGAATATGGACCCTTGCAAGATGGGACCCTCCAAAGGCCCTGATTTTGTAGAGATTGAGTGGGAGGGGGGGGCCCAACGCTGGGTTCTCCAGACTCATGGTCCTTGATAATATAGAGAAAACTGGTGACAGAAATGGCCCAGGCACCTGGTTCTGTAGAGAATTTGGATCTTTTGATTGTATATATACAAAGTATGACCTATAGTATTCTATAGTTTGATATAGTTTGTATCGACATGTATCGACTGCAGGCTAGGCGCATTGCGCCCAAATGCTTAATGTTCATCATACACCCTGTCTTGTATGCCCATGATTGGGCTGGCTGCTCCACAATGATGAACAAGTCGCGAGAAAGCTCCAGCAAAATGCGGAGCACTGTCGCCTCACTGTCTCGTACAACGTTGTAGCGTGTTATAGCCGGTTCATGCCGGTTCAACGCTTTTTTTCGTTTCAATGCGTTACGTTTTCGTTAGTCTGTTGATTGTTGTTCCCCAAAATTCAGCCAATCTACAAAGTTGCGCCAAATCAAATTGGCAAGCCGGACTGAAGTCCGGCTGGTGTCACCTTCTGGTCGCCACTGGCTTCGCATATGGATGCTGGAAGAGGCTTGCACAAATAGACTGCAAGGTGGACCACCAATCAACAATCCCTGTGGCTTCAGCCTCAAGAGTACCCAACAAAACTCATCCCTTTTGCCTCAACATGCCGCAACAAATTTCAAACACATGAATGCTTTCCAGGAAACGAGAGTGCCATCCCCAACAACTCAAAGAAGCCACCCCGGCTTACCATGTCATGATCTTTGTTCAATTTCAAGTCAAAAGCCACACCACGGTAGCCAGCTTTCTCCCAGCAATGCCTCGGTCCGTCAATCATTTCTGGAAACTTTTCGAGGTAATTCACTAATGTTCATAAATATTTTCCATCCAATGCGCCCAAAGGACTTATTCTCTGGGAAAATCCAAAAGCGTCCACAACGTCCAATGTGCGCTCGCCTGCCCACTGGCGCGCCCATGTCAAGGCATCCTCCCACGAAGCGGCTGCCTCAAACCACCTGGGTCGCTGCGTCATGCTGCGTCAATGCAATTTGCGTCAATGCAACTGCCCGATAACAAATCTCAGCATGTTTCAGTATCTACTGTACATGATTCTACGTGAATTAAATACTCCGAAAGATCAAACTACAAGCGCAGCATGGGCACTGCTCCTCCGGCACACTGCAGCTCGTGTCATCAGCCACAGACAACACGCCAGTCACCCAGAGGCACACGAACATCCACATGTGTAGCAAAGGCATGTCCGATTGAAACTTGAATGCCAACACGATCCAACACGATCCCAAACGGCTGCATATCAATATCTCCGAAACAAAGCAAAAATGATCAAACATGATAACAATTGATCACACAAGATCACACCATTAACAAATTGAAAGTTGTGAGTTGTGAAAGAATGCGCCTGGACTGGTCGTTGTGGTGGATCAGGCAATTTACGTTCTTTCGCGTATCGACAGGCAGCTGCGAAGGACCGCAACTGCTTGCTATCATCCCATTGCCAATAGTCTTAGCCAGGTACACAGTTCAAAAACTTGCAAATCTTCCAAATAAATTGGAACTGACAAAATTATCAATATAATTATTAATACTACAGAATTTGCAGATTAGCTGCAATCTATGATGCCTACGGTGTCGCCGCTCGCACGCATCCGACTGGTCAACTTCCAGGTCATGGCGTGACCCGTGGCAGACAAACCGACTGTTTGTCAAACAACAAGCACAGACTTGCGAATACGCCCTGCATGCTTGGACATGCTTGGACATGATTAAACTACCAAAACATACCAAAACTTCCCTTGAGGGGATGTCTGGCCCTTTTTTTGCATTGATTCTTAGAGCATCTTTCAGCTTGAAAGTTCTCCGCATGACGCATGGCCATGCGTGGCCCTCGACCCTTGTGGCCACGATAAGCAGCTCAGCTTCAAAAGAAAATGCACAAGACAAAGCAAGAAAACAACGAGATACAAAGAGCATTCAACTGGAGTCAAGAATCTATCTGAAACATGCTTTCCCTACAAAATGGGTTCTACCATCCCCCTGGGAGTTTCCCTCCAGGGGCCCTGATTTTGTAGAGATTGAGTGGGAGGTGGGAAGGATGATTCCTGAAAATGGCCTGATGGAGCTTCAAAGTCCAAAGCGGATTGACACCCAAGTTTTGACATGTTTTGACTTCCAAGATGGTTTGACTTCCAAAGCGGTTTGGTTCTGGAGTTAATGTCAAAAAAAGTTTGGCACCAGAATCTTGACTCAAAACCAGTTTGTTGCCGGAGTTTCAAAATCCAAATCGGTGTGACACCCAAGTTTTTGACTTCCAATGGTCCAAAAAGGTTTGGATTCCAAAACGGTTTGGTGCTGGAGTTGAACTCCATCACAGGGTTTAACTGTTTAGATTTTCTCCAAACCATCACCCTTCCCATGCTTCCAAGATGGGTTCAACATGGTTCAACACCTGTGCACACCCTTGTGTCAACAGAAGGATACTTAACCAACCATCTCTACAA